AGACGTGTGTATGTGTATACATAGGTAGGTATGCATGTATACATATATGCATATGTATATGTATTGTTGTTGTGTGTACCATTGAGTCTGAACTGACCCATAGTTGACCCTCTGGCAGGTTTTTAGAGGCAGTTAATTACGGGAGGATATTGTCCATCATTCTCCAGTGGAGCAACTGGTAGCTTTGAACCTCATACCTTTGGGATCTCAGTGTGGCCTCTTACCACGAGGCTACAAGAGCTCCTTAAGTATATGTATATGTATAATTTTATGTATACATATATGTGCATGGCAACCCAAAGATTCAAATCCAGAAGCTGCTCTGTGGGTGAAAGATGGGTAATCACCTCTCGTGTAATTTACAGCCTCTCAAAGCCCACTGGAGGGTCAGCTATGTGTAGGTTCTGACTTGACTGTACACAACAATTATATATATTTGTTGTCATCATTATGTGCCTTTGAATTGGAACTGACTCATAGGTCACACACACACACACACACACACACACACACACACACGGGGCTTTGGTGGCTTGCTGGTAAGGAGTTGCACTGCCAACCCAAAAGCAGACGGATCAAGTCCACCAGTGACTCCACGGGAGAAAGATGAGCACTGCCCTCCTGTGTAATCTCCCACCTCTGAGAATCCCCTGGAGGGCCAGCTGTGAGTAGGTTCCAACTTGAAAGTACGTAGCAACAACATATATACAAGGAGTCTTGAATGTACCATGGACCACCAAGAAAACAAACAGGTCTGGCTTAGAGAGGGTGAAACCAACTTTCTCCTTAGAAGTTGGGATTTTTTTCTTTTTCTTTTTTTTCTTCTCCCCATCCCCACCTCAAGGCTAGGATTTTGAAGCACCATCTCACATACTTCAGGCACGTAGCCAAGGAAAAACTGGTCCTTGAAGAAGGACATCATGGTTGGAAGGATGGATAAAAGGACCGCGCAGGAGAGGAAGACCCTGGATGAGATGGATTGATACAGTGACTGGGGCCATGAGACTAGGTGTGTCAGATTGGTTCAGGCCAGGGCAGGCTTCAGAGCTGGTGTACATAGGGTCTCTCTGGGTCACAGTCACATAACAACAAGATAGATAGATAGATAGATAGATAGATAGATAGATAGATAGATAAGATAGATAATAGACAGAAACAGATAGTTACATATATAGTTATATTGTTGAGATATATATCAGCATGAAGGAGTCCTGATGAGTACAGTGTATGTTACACTGTCAACCAAAAGGTCAGTGGTTCAAATCTATCTTCTGGAGAATGATGGGCCATCTGCTCCTGGTAAGATTTACAGCCTTGAACAACAACTAAAATGAAATAAAGTGTCTCTCTCTCTCTCTCTCTCACACACACACACACACACACACACACACACACACAAAAGATTTACAACCTTGGAAATCCAATGGCAGGCAGCTGGAATCGACCCCATGACAGTGGGTTTAGGACAGAGTAAAATTGCCTCATAGAGATTCAAAGACAAGAAGGCTTGTTTCTTCTCTTTTTTGAAGGTGAAATAGTAATGATAGATTTATTAGAAAGTCACATCTCCAAAGGGGCAGACCTCCGTACATGAAAGGAAATATGGAGGGGAAGCTATGAAATCTTTCTAGAAGCAGAAGGCTCCACCTTTCTTCCAACAGGCAGCTAGTAGGTTCGAACTGCTGACCTTTAAGTTAGTGGTCATGTGCTTAACCTTCGTGCCACCAAGACTCCTGGGAAGTGGCTGAACCAGGGATCAACTCCAGGTCTGTCCATCTAAGAGGGGGCTGTTCCTTGGAAAGGGGCATCGTGCTTGGAACGGTGGAGGGTCAGCCCCTCAACCAGCTGGAATGACACAGGGATTGCAGCAATAGGTTCTACTGTGGCAGAGATGATGAGACGGCACAGGACAGGACCGGGTTCAGATCTGTTTTTCATAGGTGGCTATGAGTTGTACTTGACGGCACTTAACAACAGCAACATCTAGCTTGACGAACCCTGACTTCCCCGATGCAGTGGGTCCTGTCGCTGAAAGCTTGTCTCAGTTGACAACCACCTCAACAGCGATCTGAGCACTTTCTACACATCAGGCCCCCAGAACCAATGCCGGCATTCTCAATTCGATCCATTTCACAGAGGAGGCCCTGAAGCTCCGTGTGCCCGGAAGTCACAGAGCCAGGAGTGCAGGACTTGTACCAGTGGTCAGCATGAAGCAAAGCAGGACAGGGTCCATTTATTGAACAGGATAGAAACGGAAAGGACTTAGAAGGAGAAACTGAGGCCTAGTGAACTAGAAAGGCCCAGGCCCATGGCCTTCTAAACAAACAAGCATCAGAGCCAAGCCCACCGCCACTGATGCCATTCCAACTCGAGGGGTCTCTGGAGAGACAGCCTCCTTTTCCCCACAGAGCACAGAGTGGTGGATTTCAATCTCTCAGTCAGCAATCCAACACACAACGTGCGAGGCAGGACTTGATTACGCACTTAGCACTTGGGACAGGTAAAAATCTTGGCCTTTTCTCCCAAAGGGATGCCTGTGGGAGGGCGAGTGGTTAGACTCCAGCAGGACTGGGAAGTTTCCGGGACTCACGCAGGGGCTGCCCCAGCAAGAGGAGGAGGTGGAGGTTCCAGGGGCACAGGGACTGAGGGGGGGGAAGCAAGGGGCTGGCCGCCCAGGCTCCGCATCCTCCATTCCCGACACTGGAGGGAGGCGGCTGTGGGAGCTGGGACTTTCCTGAGCACCAGAAGATTCTGGGAAATTAGAGACAGCTGCAGGGCGGGGCTGGCTCCCCGGCTCCCTTCCCTTCCCTGCCCCTGCTCCCTTCTCTGGGGCACACCTCTCTGCTCTCCAAAGGAGGCCCTCTTCAAACTGCTCCTCTTCTCTCAGACAGAGTGACCTCCACCCTCAGCTCTTCTCCCTCCAAACCTACCTCCGCCCTCAGACCCCTTTTCTCCCTCATTTCTCTCCTCCCACCTTCACTTAGTCTTCTCAGTCTCCCCAAATGCCTTCCACACTTGCTCAGACTCTCACCTGCCCCCTCAAACCTTCCCCTCTTCCTTCATGCCCCTCCCTCTCCCTGAAAGCCTGTCCCCTCCCTACCTGTCCCTCTCCCTCAGACCCTTACCTCTCCTAGGCCCTGACCTCCTCCCTCATACTCTCACCTCTCCCCTTGGATCATTACCTCCTCCCTCATACTCTCACCTCTCCCCTTGGACCATTACCTCCTCCCTCATACTCTCACCTCTCCCCTTGGACCGTTACCTCCTCCCTCATACTCTCACCTCTTCCCTTGGACCATTACCTCCTCCTTCATACTCTCACCTCTTCCCTTAGACCATTACCTCCTCCTTCAGACCCTTACCTCTCCTAAGCCCTGACCTCTTCCCCCAGATTCTCCCCTCTCCCTGGAAGCCTGTCCCCTCCCTTAAACCTTCATCTCCCCCTTCAGACGCTAATCTCTTCCCTCAGATTCTCAGCTTTTCCTCAAACCTTCACCTCTTCCTTTAGACCCTCACCTCCCCTGATCTCCTCTCTCAGACTTTCACCTCTTCCTTTAGGCTCTTCCTTCCTCCCTCAGATCCTCTCGGTACCCAGAGAGAGGGCCCGACCCCTCCCCTAGGCCATGCTCTCTCTCAGACCTTCACCTCTTCCTTTAGGCTCTAACCTCTTCCCTTGGATCCTCACCTCTTCCTCAAACCCTCACTTCCTCCCTCAGACTGTCACCTCCTCCCTCAAACCCTCTCTCTCAGACCATCCACTTCTTTCTCAAACCCTTTTTCCCCTCACCCCTACTTCCTCCTCTGCCTCTGAAGCAGCCCCTCTAAATGTCCCCTCTGGCACACTCCTTCCCACATCTGCGGAGCCCAGATCTTTGCGCCACTTGCCCGGCTCTGGTGTCCTCCCAGCTCTCCCTTTTAGTCACCACTGTCACAGGCTCTGAGCCTCAGCTTTCCTTTCTGTACTCCACACGACATCTTTCCCCTGGGTTTGAGAGTTCTCTAAGGAGGAGACCAGGTGGACGGGATTTCCCTAGCTGTAGCCCCCGCCCCCCAAATATAAGGGTTGACTTTAGCCCCATTTTCCAGAAGATGAAACTGAATCTCAAGAGTGGGGGTAATAAATACCTATCTTCTCTGAAAAAAAAAAAAAAAAGAGTGGGGGTGACCTGTCTGAGATCCTCTCTCTCTCAGCAAGAGGGACTTAGATACGCAGAGATATGTCAGAAGACCAGAGACAGATGGACAGAGGGAAAGGGGGGGGCGGAGGTATCCCGCTGTGTCTCTCCTCAAATCTGTCCTGGGTTGCTATCTCTCCCGCTGGGAGACATTTGCTTCCAAAAGACCTTGGAGTCACTGTCCCCTCTTATTTCCTCTGAGAAAAACATGGGGGTGGGATTTGAACCCACATCTGTGGAGGAAGAAGGCCTGCAGTGAGGCAGTGAGCAAAGACCCAGGTGGGTGCGGCCTGTCCCTGCCCACGGCTGCGCCTGATGCCGGGTTAACCATCCACTCAGGAGGGGCCCATCCGGGCCAAAGTCCCTCCCCGTCCAGGGACGGGGCGCACACCCACGTCCAGGGTCCTAGAGACGCTTCCGGGGAGACAGACAAGATCCGGTAGAGATGTCAGAAGGAGGTGTCACGGGGACATGGCCGACCAAGAAACCATTAGGCGGGATCGGAGCAGAGAGATCAGAGACAAAGGGGCAGATTGAAGCATAGCGGAGATAGAGGGGCATAGAGATCCCCACACGCTCTCCGGGCACATCTGGAGTGCAGCCCCCCACACCCTTTGTCCCCCTGGAACCACAAGCCTTTCGCCTCCGCCTCCAGGGCCCGGGTGACCGGGACTCAACCCCAGCGTCGGCTCCGCCCCCAGGGAAATCCGGGAAAGCCCCAAGCTGCAAAGCCCCTCCCCGGGGCGGGGAGAGGGGAGGGAAGGGGGGGCCACATAAAGGGGGGGATAGGGAAGAGGCTGCCTCTGTCCCCTCCTTCCCCATCAGCTCCAGCCGGTCTGAGTCAGGCCCCCAACCCGCGGGTCCTGTTCCCCGCGCGCCAGCCCCTCCCGGGTAGGAGGGGAAAGTTGGGGTGCGGGGAGGAGAGATAGGTCTTGGTCGCTTGCTTATGGGTGAGTCTCTATAGGTGTTGCCATCTCTCAGGCGTCTCTCCACATTTCTTAGCAACCTCCATGTCTCTGTACACCCAGGACTCCCGGAGCACCCACCCCGTGCCCTAGGTGCAGGGACCCCTCAGCGAGGCACATACTTAAGTGTTTTTCTGTGCACCACCAGCCCCGCTCCCCAGTCAAGGAGGGTGAAGCGCTTAATGCAGGGCGACCGAGGGAGGGTTCGGGTTGCCTGCCGAACGCCAGCCCCCATTCTGGGTGCGCCTTTTCACTCCCACAAAGGAGGGCATGACAGAGAGAGGGAAGTGCTCGGTCAAGGTCACCCGGGGAAGAAGCGGGAGTCGGGACTTGAACCTGCGTCCTGGAACCGCTTTCCCAGAAGAGACAGAGGTGGCGACGGAGTCGCACAAGCAGCCAGTAAGAGACAGCGAGAGGCCGAGAGAGTAGCAGACTGAAATTCACAGACACCTCGCCAGGCAGATTTGGGGACCTGCCCACCCCGCCCGGCCCCTGAC